AGAACATGTACTCCATACATCATATAATTTTCACATGGCTCTTTATAAGGACTTTATCGTTTACTTCTAGCTCCATCATTTCACATCATTAGAACATGTACTCCATACATCATATAATGTTCACATGACTCTTTATAATGACTTTATCGTTTACTTCTAGCTCCATCATTGCACATCATTAGAACATGTACTCCATACATCATATAATGTTCACATGACTCTTTATAAGGACTTTATCGTTTACTTCTAGCTCCATCATTTCACATCATTAGAACATGTACTCCATACATCATATAATGTTCACATGGCTCTTTATAAGGACTTTATCGTTTACTTCTAGCTCCATCATTTCACATCATTAGAACATGTACTCCATACATCATATAATGTTCACATGGCTCTTTATAAGGACTTTATCGTTTACTTCTAGCTCCATCATTTCACATCATTAGAACATGTACTCCATACATCATATAATGTTCACATGACTCTTTATAAGGACTTTATCGTTTACTTCTAGCTCCATCATTTCACATCATTAGAACATCTAAACATACATTTCACTAAGTAGTACTAATATTTTTATTTAAACACAAGTTAATATACTATGGCTTAGTAAAGCAAACCATTAGGTGTACAAAGGCATTACTGATTAGTATTGTTTGTTTGTTGCAAAACACAAAATTACACAATGTATTAACTGTGCTCTGTCCTTCTTGAGTATCGAAACCAGATTTTGAACCCTATAAACTCTGTGTAGGCAGCCCATCGATACTAGAATCATCGATACTGTGTTTTTAGCTGGTCAGAGAAAAAGAATGCCAAATCTCTCATTGAAATTTTACACTTTTATAATTTTGAAAAAGTATTTTTTTGAACTTTTGCATTGTATTTATAACTGATCTTGACTGTCATTAGAATCCTGAAATTAATTTATTTAGCGAAAAGTTTCTGCTTTATTAGTAGTGTGGCCATTTGTGTGATCGACTGGCCACATCCATGGCCGGGAAAAAAATTTGGTTGCCCACCCATGCTATAAACCCACTAACTTACTGCTGAGAGAACTACAGTTGTATCTAACAGTTTTATTAGAGGTTATCATGCCATAACGTACAAAAACACCAATAGGAATATTGAGGTTTCACTAATTATTACCTAATAGTTTTATTTCAATGGAGGTTAACTTGATTAAGAAACTATTTAAAGTTGTATGAGATTTCGCTAAGTATTACTAAATGGTTTTATTTCAGTAGAGATTAAGAAATTTGATAAACAACCTATAGTTTCATTAAGTAGTGACTAGTGGCTTTATTCATAGATGTTGAAACTAGAGACTAGGAGGTATATGGCCCCCAGTGATTAAACTGGGGCCTTAATGTCATTGGACTGCAATATTTTGCTGACAACATTATTTATTTATTTTTGCCGACTAACTTTGCCATCCCAATAATAGGAGACTCTTTGGGAAATTCTAAACATTATACTGTTAATAATTGTTTTATTGTTATAGTGTGTTTGCTAGTTATGAAGTGCTATATGAATTCTACAACTTTTAGTTGAAAACTTAGGTTTACAAACGTTTGCTGTTTTTCTCCAGATGAAGCATAGCATTGCTCAAGAAAGTTTCTAACTTTACTTTTCCCTAGAGGCTAATTGGATCAAGTGTCTTCCTGTCTTGACTGTATCATTATTTTCTGTGTAGACTAAAGTGAGTGTAATGTAACTTAACCTAACGTAATATGGTGTTATTTTTCTTTTGTATGGTAATTCTATTTCATGGTTTAGTTTTCGAGGGGAGGGTCATACGGGCCATCAGGAGCCCTTTTAGACTAACAATAGAAGGTAACATGCCGTGACGTGAAAAACAAGGTACAGTTGTATGAGGTTTTATTTAGTAGTACTGGTTTTATGTCAACATAAGGTAACACACAGTGACATGGAAGAACAAGGTACCTTGTATGAGGTTTTACTAAGTACTAATAGTTTTATTTCAACAGAGGGTAACATGCTATGACGTGGAAAAAACAAGGTACAGTTGTATGAGGTTTTATTTAGTAGTACTGGTTTTATGTCAACAGAAGGTAACACACAGTGACATGGAAGAACAAGGTATCTTGTATGAGGTTTTACTAAGTACTAATAGTTTTATTTCAACAGAGGGTAACATGCTATGACGTGGAAAGAACAAGGTACAGTTGTATGAGGTTTTGATAAGTAGTAATAATGGTTTTATGTAAACAGAAGGTAACAAGCCGTGACGTTAAAGAACAAGACACCTTCTTTCAGGTTTTACTAAGTAGTAGTAATAGTTTTCTTTCATCAGAGGATAACATCATGTGACGATAAAGAATAAGGTACAGTTGTATAAAGTTTTACTAAGTAGTACTAATGCTCTTATTTCAACAAAAGGTAACATGCCGTGACGTTAAAGAATAAGGTACAGTTGTATAAAGTTTCACTAAGTAGTACTAATAGTTTTAATTCAAAAGAGGGTAACATACCGTGATGTAGAGAACAACGTACTTTCCATGAAGTTTTACTATGTAGTAATAATAGTTTTGTTTCATCAGATGGTAACATCCTGTGACATGGAAGAACAAGGTACAGTTGTATGAGGTTTCACTAAGTAGTACTAATAGTTTTAATTCAAAAGAGGGTAACATACCGTGATGTGGAGAACAACGTACTTTCCATGAAGTTTTACTATGTAGTAATAATAGTTCTGTTTCATCACATGGTAACATCCTGTGACATGGATGAACAAGGTACAGTTGTATGAGGTTTTACTAAGTAGTACTAATGGTTTTATTTCAACAGAACGTAACATGCCGTGACGAGAAAGAACAAGGTACTTTCTATGAGGTTTTACTAAGTAATACTAATAGTTTCATTTCAAGGGAAAGTAACATGCAGTGGCGTGGAAAACAAGGAACAGTTGTATGAAGATTTATTAAGTGGTACTAATGGTTTTATTTCAACAGAAGGTAACATGCTGTGACGTGGATGAACAAGGTACCTTGTATGAAGATTTATTAAGTGGTACTAATGGTTTTATTTCAACAGAAGATAACATGCTGTGACGTGGATGAACAAGGAACAGTTGTACGATGTTTTAACGTCACAGCATGTTATCTTCTGTTGAAATAAAACCATTAGTACCACTTAAAAATCTTCATACAAGGTACCTTGTTCATCCTACGTCACAGCATGTTATCTTCTGTTGAAATAAAACCATTAGTACCACTTAAGGAAGAATATGTCATTTCGACTGAGGTTAAAATTGTTGCGTTTACTAATATTTGAACTTTAGTAGAGGTAAACATTCACCTTTGGATTTATGATTGTGTCGTTGTGTAAATTGTTGTTTCCTCAAGAATATTATACTATAAAACACTGTAAGGCGATGATTCTTGAAGTTGATATTTTCAGATGGAGTTGTAATGATACGTCAGGATGTCATATGTGTTCAGTGTTACTATTTACGTCATGATACCATATGTGTTCACATTTACATTTGAGCGACAGTGACAAGTGGGAGCTGTCAAAGCTCTCTGTTCCCGTTCATCAAGTCCCTCTAAATATCTGTTTATACACGCTAACAGGATGCCAAATAGTTAACCACGGTTAAAAAGGTGTAGCTTCAGGCTTTTTTTAGAAATGAAGCTTAAGGAATTCATGATTACTAATCTCCATATCCAAATATCTTTTACATCATACTCGTATGGATTAAATTATCTTCAGTTTGATCTTCTACAGATAAAATCCAATTTTATTAACTCAGAGTAAACGCAGCACCAAAGAACAACGTTAGAATGACAAGACTTTTATGATCGTGGAAATAGTTGCTTGTTCTTTGCTTCTGTGATTATCACAGTTTTCAAAACTATTTTATTTATTGGCTTCATATGACTAAGTTTACAGCAGAGTATGAATCTTTTCATTATAAGAGCTAATCCAATTAAAAAGATGATCACAAAGCTAAATGAATCGAATAAAAAACCAAACATTTCGAAACCTAACGGATTCATAAGTGAAAAAGTCTTATAATTCAAGAGTGAGTTTTTCCAATCAACTGTTGTTAAGAACAAAATTTTAATTCTCACTTACATGCTATATATTGTGTGTCATGTGGTATCATAAACAGAAATGTTAATGTGATTTGCTTCACATCAAACGGAACTAAATAAACTTCATGTAATAATCAACAGTAAGTTCAGATATTAAAAAAGAACTTTTACTGTTTACTGTTTTAAACATATAGTGTAACGTGGTATCAGAAATCGAATTTTAAATGTTTACTGATATAAATTACAATAAACATTCAAAGTTCTGTTTCTTATTTAATTTATATTAAACATTCAGAGTTCTGTTTCTTATTTAATTTATATTAAACATTCAAAGTTCTGTTTCTGATATGAATTACTATGAACATTCAAAGTTCTGTTTACTGATATTATTTACAATAAATATTCAAAGCTATGTTTACTGATAATACATACTTGATATAAAATGCAGTAAATATTAAAATCTATGTTTCTGATACTATATCACACTAGATTTAAAATACAGTAAACATTACGTTCTGATACTTGAACTTTCTATTGATTATTGAATGAATTACCTGACACTTGAAAAATATTTACCGTTTGTTGTGTTAAATGTAGTATTATTGGAGAACAATTACCTGATACTCGGAAATAATTTACCTGTATTGTGTTAAATGTAGTATTGTTGGACAATTATGTGACATTCAGAAAGTATTTACCGTTTGTTGTGTTAAATGTAGTATTGTCGGACAACAATTATGTTACATTCAGAAAGTATTTATCTGTGTTGTGTTAAATGTAGTATTGTTGGACAACAATTATGTTACATTCAGAAAGTATTTACTGTTTGTTGTGTTAAATGTAGTATTGTTGGACAACAATTATGTTACATTCAGAAAGTATTTATCTGTGTTGTGTTAAATGTAGTATTGTTGGACAACAATTATGTTACATTCAGAAAGTATTTACCGATTGCTGTGTTAAATGTAGTATTGTTGGACAACAATTATGTTACATTCAGAAAGTATTTATCTGTGTTGTGTTAAATGTAGTATTGTTGGACAACAATTATGTTACATTCAGAAAGTATTTACCTGTCTTGTGTTAAATGTAGTATTGTTGGATAACAATTATGTGACATTCAGAAAGTATTTACCGATTGCTGTGTTAAATTTAGTATTGTTAGATAACAATTATGTGACATTCAGAAAGTATTTACCGATTGTTGTGTTAAATGTAGTATTGTTGGACAACAAAATCCTGTCACTCAGAAAGTATTTACCGTGTTTATGTTAAATATAGTATTATTGGACAAAATTACCTGTCACTCAGAAAGTATTTACCGTTTTATGTTAAATGTAGTATTATTGGACAAAATTACTTGTCACTCAGAAAGTATTTACCGTGTGTTATGTTAAATGTAGTATTATTGGACAACAATTATGTTACATTCAGAAAGTATTTACCGTGTGTATGTTAAATATAGTATTATTGGACAAAATTACCTGTCACTCAGAAAGTATTTACCGTGTTATGTTAAATGTAGTATTATTGGACAACAATTATCTAAAACTTGGAAATTATTTATCATGTGTTAAGTCTAGTATTGCTCGGGTTATATATATAATCTAAAGTTGAGAGCTAGATCTGGTTCCTAAAGAAAGTTCAATGCAGTTTACTATTAAGCAGAGAAGAACTTACTCTACTCTTAGTAGTATTAGGAAAGACAGATGTAATGACAAATTTAAAATCCAACTTTTTCTGGAAGATCCGCTGAACAGGTTAAGCTCCAACATACATTCATACCTCATCTTTTCCACAGACGAACTTACAAATTTAAACATTACTATTATACACTGATTCTAATAAGGTTTCAATCAAGTCACTATGAATGAAATTTAAGCTTTCGTTGTAGCATCCGAATTTACAACGCGCAAGTAATTCTATTTATATGTTTCTAGACTGCTTCACGTACACGAAGTCGACAAGTTGGTACTGAAATGAAAGCTAATTTTTCAAACGTAAACAAATACAGCAGAAAATTCAAAGCCCTCTAACGACGAACGTCTAAAACATTAAGTACCCCAAAATGACCTGATTCAGGTGAATTTATAATAGAAAGTTCAAAATTTCACGAAACAAAGTTAATTTAAAATTTTTTTAAAGAATTTCTATTGCTGATGAGTAGGAGTTCAAATTAAGTCAATACAATATATGTTTGTATCAGCTGAATGCTGTGTCACTAGAATAATTCTCTAGAATCAATAGCCTGTTGTCAATCTAATACTTCCCGAAAACAACGGCATACAATCAGCTACACCCTATGATATGACGTCACTATATTTCCCTTCAACCAACAGCATAGATGTGAAGACCAGATATATGATATGTCTAGGTTGTCAAAACTATGTTACCCTTGAATCAACGGCATACAATCAGCTACACCCTATGATATGACGTCACTATATTTCCCTTCAACCAACAGCATAGATGTGAAGACCAGATATATGATATGTCTAGGTTGTCAAAACTATGTTACCCTTGAATCAACGGCACAGCTGTAGCCATTAGCTGTGTCCAGGTTGTCAATAAAATATTACCATTGAAACAACTGCATTGATGTAGTTATCAGCTACATGTTGTGTCTAGGTTGTCGCCAAAATCATTTGAACAACACATATATGTGTCTGATGTCAATATTTTCCTTGAAACAACGGCATAAATGTGTGAACCATGTATGTGCAGGGTCTAGGTTGTCACCCCGATATTTCGATTAAAAGAACAACATAGATGTATTTATCAAATTTACGTAGATATGTTTATCAGCAACATGATGTGTCTAAGTTGTCATTACAATACGACCTTTGAAACAATGGCATAATGTTTTGTCAGTTACATGCTGATGATGACAAAACCTTGTCGAAACCTTGCTGTTATGTTAAACTTATATTAAAGTTTTTCTTCATTACCCATTCAAGCCGTCTCCAGCCATTATTATAATTAAAGTTAGACTGTGTTACTGTGAGTTTAACCATAAAGAGCATATAGTGGCGATTTTTAAAGTGAAATTATCATATTGTGTTGTAATAATAGAGTAGAGAAGAAATAATTTGTCTTCTAAAGTAACTGAACCAGCCTGTGTGTGGACTATGACGAAAAGAGACGATCACTTAAAGCTCTGGATACAACTGTGGGTAATTAACTGTGTAACTAACATTTGTATACACGTTTGACTTGTTTTAATATATATTATTCTAAAACAAGTGGACTGTGTGATTTTTGGATATTGTTGAAATTTATCACCAACAAGTCACATTCTACTGTAAAAAATCCTGCCCATCCATCTACACATAAAAACCTGATGGACCATCAGCTCCTTGCATACATCCAGAGGAAAAAATTGACAGTGTAAGGTTCATGAGGTGGGCGTTGTACCTCCAGGACTACTGGTTCCATATTGAAGCCACCAAGGGGACTGCAAATGATGGTGCAGCCTGAATGAGTAGTTTGTGTATAAACTGAAAACAGTATAAAAAAAAGAGGGCTTATTGTTAGGTATACATGACTGTTTAACACAAGTGTTAGGATATATAGTTTAAATATAGCGTGTGTGTTAAATTTGGATATTTTAGAAGCAACAGTTTATCGCAGGTTTATTTGCAAAACTGTGTATGAATCATATGTTGTGTAGCTCAACTATTGTGAATTGGTGTTTGTATTATTGCAACATGTTACTAGAACCTTCTAAGTTTTCTCGTTGTTTTTATTGAGTACTAATATTTTTCAGTAAGTAGAATGTAAATGTAAAAAGTAAATACACATACAAGACATAGATCTAGACTGCGAGATTGTAAGTTTAGTCATAAAGAGCATATAGTGGCAATTTGTAAAGTGAAATTATCACATACTGTGTTGTAATAGCAGAGCAGAGAATAATAACTTGTCTTTTCAATTATGTTCTAAAGTAACTGAACCAGCCTGTGTGGCCTTTCATGAAAAAAAACGATTATTTAAGGTTCTGGATATAACTGTATAATAAACATTTGTATTTACATATGAATTGTTTTAAAATATATTATTTTGAAATAAGTGGACTGTGTGCTGTTTGTTTATTGTTGAAATTTATCGCCAACAAGTCCCACCTACTGTAAAGAATCCTTCCCATCCATCTATACATAAAAACTTGACACTGAAGTAAAGATGTGTGGCAGCTACAAAAATAATGATGTGAAGGGTTACCACTGTATAGAACAAAAGTAAATATATAAGGGGTTACTATTGTGTAAAACTGAAGTAAAGGTGTAAGGGGATCACCAACATATAGAACAGAAGTAAAGATGTGAGGGGTGACCGTTGTGTAGAACTAAAAGTAAAGATGTAAGGGAGTTACCATTATACAGAACAGAACTAAAGATGCAAGTGGGTTATCATTGTATAGAACAGAAGTGAAGATATGAGGGGTTTTCATTGTGTAAAACTGAAGTAAAAATGTGAGGTGGTTACCATTGTATCAAACACACAAAGATGTACAGGAGTTACTATTTTATAAAACAGAAAGTCTGATTGGAGTTACCATCATATAGAAAAGAAATAGTATTTTAGAGAATTAAGGCTTGCTTAAGGTTACCATTGTATAGAACAAAAAAAAGGTGTGAAGAGGTAACCATTTTATAGAACAGAAACAGAGTCTCTTGGAGTTACCATAAATATAAAACAGAAGTAAAGATATGAGCCATTACCACTGTATGGAACAGAAATAAACTCTGCTTAGGGTTCCCACTGTATAGAATAGGAGTAAAGGTGTGATGTGGTTCCCCTGGAACAGAAAAAGAGCAAGGGTTAACCCCTGTATGGAACAGAAGAAGTAAAGGTGGCGTGTAATACAGCGACATGAAAAGAATAGCCAAAAGTTGCCCATTACATAGAAGAGAAGTAGTAAAGGTGCCATAAGTTAAATCGATACAGGCAGAATAGCTAAGAATCACCACTCGCACAGTATAGAAGTAACATACTTGTAATTTTAAACTTACAAGAACTACTGGAGATATACTTGTAATTTTAAACTTACAAGAACTACAGGAGATATACTTGTAATTTTAAACTTACAAGAACTACTGGAGACATACTTGTAATTATAAACTTCCGTTGTTTGTTTGTAGATAAGCACAAAGCTACACAATGGACTATCTGTGCTGTGACCACCATGGGTATTAACACTGAGGGTAATTTTTAAGTTACAGGAATTAATAGAAATATACCTATGATTTTGAACTTAAAAGTAGTACTGGAAAGATGCTTGTGGCATTTAACCCAATGCACTCAAGCTTTGTCAAGTGGACTGATCCCATATTGGAGAAGGAATACTGACTAAAATTATTGAATTTACTAACTGTATCTACACAAAATGTGGTAATCCTTTAGTAAATGAGTTACAAAAGTATTTGTTCTCATATGTCTGCATTCACGAGGCCACTCTGATTCAGACTCCGAAAAGTTGGAATACAGTTGAAATATGTGAGTATGTGGTTGACACAGGAACGTAGGTGAACCCATATTGGTCAGTGTCACACCAGTTTACCTGTGAAAGATACCATTTGTTGACGATACTTAGTTAACTGTCTGCTCAACTTGTGAATGTAGGTGAACCCATGTTGGTCAGCGTCACACCAGTTTACCTGTGAAAGATACCATTTGTTGACGATACTTAGTTAACTGTCTGCTCAACTTGCAAATGTAGGTGAACCCATGTTGGTCAGTGTCACACCAGTTTACCTGTGAAAGATACCATTTGTTGATGATACTTAGTTAACTGTCTGCTCAACTTGTGAATGTAGTTGAACCCCTGCTAGTCAGTGTCACACCTGTTTATCTGTTAAAGATACTGTTTGTTGACGATACTTAGTTAACTGTCTGCTCAACTTGTGAATGTAGTTGAACCCCTGCTAGTCAGTGTCACACCTGTTTCACAGATAACTAAGTATCATCAACAAACAGTATCTTTAACTGTCTGCTCAACTTGTGAATGTAGTTGAACCCCTGCTAGTCAGTGTCACACCTGTTTATCTGTTAAAGATACTGTTTGTTGATGATACTTAGTTAACTGTCCAAATTACACTAGCAATTCTTTCATTTCATATCTTGTTTATTCTTGTACTACTGGTGAATATATTATATACAACATTTAGAAGACAAAACTAACTCATTAAAACACAATATCTGATGATCAATCTTATGTTATGAAAATGTTGAAATAAAACATGACATTCAAAACCACAATCCCCCATCATCATCATCCTCTTCTTCTTGTTTATCAACTTGATCAGAGTCAGAACCACCTGACTGTGGAGACATGCCGGCCTGGGACTGTATGTGTTCTTCTTCTTTCATTGCTTGGTTTGACTGAAATCCATACTGCCCTTGAAGTAAGAATTCTGATGGATCATAATTTTCATCAATCACTTCATGATCTCCCTGTACAGAGTCTTGGTAATTCATACCAGGCTCATCTTCCTTCTTAACAAATTCAGTGAAGTCTTGGTATGTTTCATTGGGTACGTCTTCATCCTCAAAATCATCTTTCTTAGTAAATTCTGTGTCACTTACTTCATTCTCACTGTTTTCAGGTGTTATTTGCAGATCTTTAGCTAAAACACTACCTTCATCATCATTCTGCAAGTTTGCCATATTTTCATCCTCAAAATCCCCTTCAACATCAATGAAATCCAAGTCTTCTCCCTCTCGAGTCTATATAAAAGGAAAGAGAATGTACATACACAAAAGGAAAAAAACTTAATTAAAAAGACAAAAAGCTTTCACTTAAATATATATATATATATATATACAGTCTAAAGATCTTCCCAAGAAATAAGACAACAGTGAAATATTACAAACAATTTAACCATTTAAAATTGTATATCATGTTGTCACTGGCTGCTACTATTTTCTTAACGAGGCTTTGTTAGGCCAAACTTCAAGCTTAACATTAAGTAAAATATAGTAATCTAGTATGACCAGGGCTGTCATCAGTGTTCCTGCATCCCTGTTGACATGATGGACAAGCCATCAGGACCTAATGGGCAATTCCCTTAGAAACAGAGCTCTGCAAAGCTTCAAGATTCAATTTGATTGTGAATCAGGACTGGATATTTTCGAATCTACACCACTTCCGGTAAACTTTATAATTTAGTTTTTTATTCATTCTATGTACCGGAAACTATTTTTTTGTAATAACACTTTTTTACCATTCTTCTTCCAGATGATTAAGTACATTATATTTTTAGAAAGATTTAATTTTATACTCATTACTAATTGTGTGTAGAAGTACTCTACATAAATAAACAATTTTATATTGGATTTAAAATGTAATTCAGCCTATATACCTTGTAATCTATATATATATGCACAGCTGACTCAATTCAAAATTTCATTTGATTCAATTAGAAAAAAAAATTGTGATTTGCAAGGTCCTACTTAGGAAGTTATTACCACAAAAACTTCTGTTTTGTTTATTACAATTAGCTTACCACAAGTTGAATAAAGATTTACCACTTCAGCATTTTTACAGGTTTAAAGAATGTTTATCTATGTTCAATTCTTCAAATCTTGTACAAGATATATGAATGTAAATATCATACAAACAGGCACATTTGAAACTATCATTATTTTTCAGCAGTAAAAACCCAGCATTAAATAAACACATGAATCTATAAGTAAAGGTTAGCCTGAAAGTTCTCACATGAGAAAATAATGAACAGGAATAGTGCATAAACTTCAACCACTATTAAACAGAGGCATTTTTAACACTTCAAACTACTTGGTGCAATTGTCTTAGGGGGCTGATCCATACTGATCAGCTATAGATACAGCAATTGATATGTTTTTTGCATTACTTTGGGGAACTACAATATGAGGAGCCTGTAGGTGTTTTGCACTGAGATTAAAGTATGCTTAAAAGAGCAAAAACATCCAGTGCATTTGTTACTACTTTTGCAGTGTCCAAACAAAGTTTTAATAAGGAATTAGTAACTTTAAAATTACATGTATAGAATATCCAATAATTATTTTATATAATGTATTTGGAATAAATGTTTGTATCCCAAATAATATATCTGTTACTATTATTGTAGGCAAGTCAATCAAATCAGACAATTGGTAGCATATACAAGTCACCTTGAAAGAATATGTAGAAGTGTCCAACATTGGGTGAACTGTTATTAAACCAAGAAATAATCTGATGAAGTTTAACTGAATGGATGACAATTGCCTGTTGTAGAAACACAAGAATAAAGGAGGACATTTTGAAAGTCTTTTGTTTTCAGATGGAAATCACCTCATGTATAATACTTGTGTTTCTACAACAGGCAGTTGCAGTCCATTCAACTAAATATCATCCTGAATATTAAACAATCTATCAAAAAAAACAACAACTTAGCAAAGAGGAATAAAACTAGTATTAAACTAATGATTATCTACAAAATGTGTGAAGGGCTAAGAAAATACAAATCTAGTGTGGAAGAAAGAAGAGATAGAAGGAGCTAAAATATGGCAATAGAGGCACATCTGACAAATATTGATCCCTAGTACATTGACAGAAGCAGCATTTGACAACGAACTGAAAGAAAATGAGAATCAGTACATAGAAAGGACATAAAGGGACTTTACATATTCTGAAGAAACAATTAGTAAAAATAATATCAAAATATCAGAGCTAGATATTTCAGGAATTAACAAATAGCAAAGATAATATCAAAATATCAAAGCTAGATATTTCAGGAATTAACAATTAGTAAAGATAATATCAAAACACCAGAGCTAGATATTTCAGGAATTAACAGTTAGTAAAGATAATATCAAAATACCAGAGCTAGATATTTCAGGAATTAACAGCTAGTAAAGATAATATCAAAACACCAGAGCTAGATATTTCAGGAATTAACAATTAGTAAAGATAATATCAAAATATCAGAGCTAGATATTTCAGAAATTAACAATTAGTAAAGATAATATCAAAACACCAGAGCTAGATATTTCAGGAATTAACAGCTAGTAAAGATAATATCAAAACACCAGAGATAGATATTTCAGGAATTAACAAATAGTAAAGATAATATCAAAATACCAGAGCTAGATATTTCAGGAATTAACAAATAGCAAAGATAATATCAAAATATCAGAGCTAGATATTTCAGGAGTTAACAATTAGTAAAGATAATATCAAAACACCAGAGCTAGATATTTCAGGAATTAACAAATAGCAAAGATAATATCAAAATATCAGAGCTAGATATTTCAGAAATTAACAATTAGTAAAGATAATATCAAAACACCAGAGCTAGATATTTCAGGAATTAACAGCTAGTAAAGATAATATCAAAACACCAAAGCTAGATATTCCAGGAATTAACAGCTAGTAAAGATAATATCAAAACACCAGAGCTAGATATTTCAGGAATTAACAGCTAGTAAAGATAATATCAAAACACCAGAGCTAGATATTTCAGGAATTAACAGCTAGTAAAGATAATATACCTACATTAAGTTATCCTAACACCAGTACACCTATGTGAGGTTAAGTTGACATCAGTGTACCTACGTGAGGTTCAACTGACACCAGTGTATCTACGTGAGGTTCAGTTAACACCAGTGTACCTACGTGAGGTTAAGCTATCCTCATTACACCTACACAATATTAAATTAACACCAGCAGGCGTACATGAGTTGACAGTAGTAGACTTACATGAGGTTATGCTAACACCAATACACCTACACGAGATTGAGTGGACATACAAGGCTTACAAGAGGTTGGGTAAACACCAGTAAACCTACATGAGGCCAAGCTAACATAAATAGGCGTACATGTGATTTAGCTAACATAAATAGGCGTACATGTGATTTAGCTAACACCATCATATCTTCATGAGGTTGACTACACACAGTAAGCAAATATGGAAAGCAGGCTGAGTTTTGGTTATTTTCACGTCATCAAGGTGTTATGAGGAATTGTGGAACTTACTATAAGTGAGCTTTCAAGTAATTCTTCCACTTTTTAGTTCTCAACATGTGTTTATGAAAACAATTCAGTATTAAGTCCAAAAGTAAAAATATAAAGTATTTTTGAAAACCTAGTAGAAAGGTTGTTTACAAGAGAAAATAACAATTACATAAAAACTAAAACACCTACTTGGAAAGAGTCATTGGGTTCTTTGCTGGAACTTTCATCACCAATCAAACTTTCATCTTGAGGAAAAGAGTTCCCTGTCATGGCTGAGTCTGTCTCTACTGCATCTAGAGCTGCCTCCATTGCTGCTTTAATTGCACTTTCCAATGTTGTAAGTTGCTCATCATACTACAGAAACAAGAACCAGATATATCAAACCATCTAGTAAAGAAAAAGTCTCTCTGATTTAATAAATGTTCATCATAATACAGCCCACAGAAACAAGGACCAGAGATATCAAACCATCTAGTACGGAGAAGTTTTTCTAATTCAAAACATGTTCATCATAATACAGCCCACAGAAACAAGGACCAGAGATATCAAACCATCTAGTACGGAGAAGTTTTTCTAATTCAAAACATGTTTATCATAATACAGCCCACAGAAACAAGGACCAGAGATATCAAACCATCTAGTACGGAGAAGTTTTTCTAATTCAAAACATGTTCATCATAATACAGCTCACAGAAACAAGGACCAGAAACCTTTCCAATTTAACAAATGTTCATCATACTATAGTGTGCAGAGATCAGGACCAGAGATATAAAAACATCTACAAAGAAATCTGTATTTTTTATAGATGGTGGAACATACTACATGTTTCACCATCAATAATAAAGTTGTTATTTGCCTTCCTATTATTATATTAGCATAATGTACTTCCTTACACAAGTTTATCATGCTACAGAAACATCAAGTTTTTTAAGTTCTCTGACTCACTTTTCTACTAAATTATCTTTCAAATAAAAATATAATTAAAATACCGAAATCTAAAAGTATATTTTGTATAAATTTCATTATTAAGTATTTGGATAAAGTATAAAAAATTAAACTATTAACCCTAATTATTGAACTTTTTTTTTTCTCACAATTAAAATTTCTTTTGGGTTTAGAATTATCTAAATTTTATTCTACAACATATTCTTTTAACAATGTGAGCTAGATCATTGTTGAAAATTGTAAATGCATTTCCTATCTATGGCTATTAGAATGAAATGAATAAAAAAGCAAATAATAAAGAGCATCTTAAAGATATGTTGATGTACTTAAAGTTAACATGTGCAAATTTAAAAAAAAGCTAATTTTGGAGATACGAGACAAGAATTCTCTGCTGTAAAATGAGCTAATGAATTAGTTGAAGTTTTTGATCAAATATGGAAAAATTGTAAAAATAAACTTTTAAATATCCAAGGTAGGTATGTTACTTATAGTAAAAAAAACAAAAAACAAGTAAGCTCACAAGGGATGTAAAGAATAATATTAAAGAAAAGCATTAAAAATATAATAAGATTAAATTAACTGCACCGATGGGAGATTTGGAAGATTATTGAAGGTTGAGAGAGTTGGTAAAACAGGAAAATAGTAAATAAAAAAAAAAGCATATGAAAAAAGTACAGATTAATAATAAGGATTTCTTCAAATACATTAAGGGTAATAAAAATGTCAGATTGGGAGTTCAGCCTTTGAGAGATGATACCGAAAGGCTAATATCTGATAATTATGAGATGGTTAGGTTATCAAATTTGGCTTTTTCTTTGGTTTTTACTAATGAACATTTAAGCAATATTCCTTATCTTGAACAGCTGCTAGATGGAAACAAGGTTGAACAAGATGACTGCATTAATCCCGAGCTCCACTTATTCAGTAAAGGACAGAGGCATTATGATTGAACAAGTACAACACACAATATATAGCTAACAATAATGATTTATTATTCTGTACGTTTAATTACTAAACAATTTTACTGACTGTAAACCTACTTGGATGTTAAATAAGCTTTGTTCAACTTACTGGGTTTTTCACAGTAAGTATCACAAGCATATCAATTACATGTACATAACTTGAATTTTAAAGACATAATTGCTGGAAATGGTTCAGAGGAGGGTTACTAGAATGGTGCCTGGAATGGAAAGGTTGTCATATGAGGATTGGTTAAGATCTCTTGAACTTCTTTTCTCATGAAAAAACAAACAGAATTAGAGAATTTTTAAAGGAATTGATAATGTTTATGCATCACCTTTTTTTTCGTATTTAATGTTGAAAATGTTAAGATTAGGGGACACATATAGGGGACTTTTGGCAGGGTAGGAGTCATCTAGAGCTAAGGCAGCTTTATTTTTCTAACAGGTTGTTTGATCTTTGGAACTGGTTGCTTTCAAATGTGGTAGATACAATTAATTTAATAAAGTTTAATGGAAAGCTTGATAAGTATTTGAATGATAAGGGCTAACTTTGAGTTTTTTAGTGTTTAATTTAGTGGATAGGATGGCCTAGACAGACCAAAAAGGTCTCTTGTTGTCCTTTAATGTTATATTAAAATAAATTACTTCTTCCTTACCTCATCTAATGCAATCCTACAAGTATCAACTATTTCTTTAGCTTTCTTGGTGAACTGGCTCTCCTGGCCATTGAATAAAACGCTATTTTTATGTATCAACTCAACATCACAAAAGAAGTCCTCTCGATTGTGATATTTATGAGACTTAGTATTCTGTTAGAAATAAAACAGGATAAATAAACATCCTTTCATAAGATATGGAAAAAAAGATCCTTTGAAATGCTATATTTGAAACAAATCATCAACTGTTCTTAAGATTTCAATTGTACTATTACAAATACCTAAAAACAAAAAATTACTTTTAGACATAATTTTCACTTTATAAAGCAAAGCTTAATATTTTAGAGCTGAGAAAAAGATGTCTGAAAAGTTGTATGAAAACAATGTTATAATAGAAGGCTACAACAACATAATGTTGAATTTTGAATTTGTATATTTCTGAAAAATATGTAAAGTTTTAATTTTGTCAGTTCCTTACTGAATACAATAAAGACTAATTTGATGTAAGAATAAAATTATCTTATGACTGTGTATGTAGTCTGCTATACTGATTGTTTTATTAAAAATGGTGTTTTATTATTATACTGGATTATTACAAATATACCCGTTTTAAAAAAATTGTAATAAATTTTGTAACCTAATATAGATACACACTATTATAAAATGAAATAAACCGACCTTTATAATCGAGTCTAAGTCGATGGGATTCTTAATAACATTGTAGTAATCTTTGACAAACTTCTTGTTAACTGGTTTATGGAAAGGCCAAGATTCCGGAATTGTCTTCAGTCGTTCGTTGACAATAGTTTCCAGAATGAAAGAAAAGGCTACTTGATCATTGTCATCTAAAAGTGGATTTATAGCTTTTTCTAAACGCATTAGCTTTTCTTCTTTCTCTGCAAACCGTTTCAGACACAGTTCCAGCATTTTTTGAGCATTCTGGGTCAAAATACTTTTAGTACCTATTAAATAAATATATTTTTATATTATTTTATAGACATTATACACAATATTTAAATTAATGATACAAATGTACAAAAAAAGCCACCAATATATGCACACACAGAAGGAAATATTCTGGTTCTTTTTTTGAAACTCACAATTCTTTGTGTATCAATTTGTATTCAGAAAAAATATAAACATTTCTCGGCCAGAGTAGACTTACTGATATTCCTTAAGTTCTTCCCTTCTCACAGTAGAAATATTAAATAGTGGAAATACTAAATAGTGGAAATACTAAATAGTAGAAATACCAAATAGTGGAAATACCAAATAGTGGAAATACCAAATAGTGGAAATACCAAATAGTGGAAATACCAAATAGTGGAAATACTAAATAGTAGAAATACCAAATAGTGGAAATACTAAATAGTGGAAATACCAAATAGTAGAAATACCAAATAGTAGAAATACCAAATAGTAGAAATACTAGGTAGTGGAAATACCAAATAGTAGAAATACTAAATAGTGGAAATACAAATTAGTGGAAATACCAAATAGTAGAAATACCAAATAGTAGAAATACGAAATAGTGGAAATATCAAATAGTGGAAATACCAAATAGTGGAAATACTAAATAGTGAGTGGAAATACCAAATAGTGGAAATACTAAATAGTGGAAATACCAAATAGTAGAAATACCAAATAGTGGAAATACTAAGTAGTGGAAATACCAAATAGTAGAAATACCAAATAGTGGAAATACTAAGTAGTGGAAATACCAAATAGTAGAAATACCAAATAGTGGAAATACTAAGTAGTGGAAATACTAAATAGTGGAAATACTAAGTAGTGGAAATACTAAATAGTGGAAATACCAAATAGTAGAAATACCAAATAGTGGAAATATGAAATAGTGGAAATACTAAATAGTAGAAATACCAAATAGTGGAAATAAGAAATAGTGGAAATACTAAATAGTGGAAATACTAAATAGCATAAAAATGAAAGAAGAACACAAAGATTAATGAAAACTCAGCCACTGCAAAACATAGACAGGGACGAAGCTAGAATCATCAACTCTGACAATTTTTTGGAAAACAATAAAAATAATGGAATATTTCTACATCAACACAATAAAACCTTCATTAAAGAAACTTGGGCCTAGAAATCAGCCACCAATGACTACCATTGGTTGAATCCACACTTAGTCACTCCATCAATCAAAACCAGGAACAAACAACCAAATATGTCCACCTCAATCCACCTGGATACAATATAAGGCCGGCAGTAGCTTGCACAAACTGACATGAAAATGAAAGGTGGAAGACTTTCAAAACTTCACCCTCTACACTTGAGCTGCATAAGTACATTATATAGTCACCAATATATTTCTACAAGTGTTACTCTAATAGGCAGTTATTAACAAGTTCACAGTCAACTCAACATAATAGTCTATTCTGACACATACTATCTAAACACTTTGAAAGAAACTAATTTAGAACACTAATGTAATTCAGTATGCTAATGATTAGGTCACAATCTAAACCAGCTGTAGATGACACCAGTACAATAACAGTTATATGGTTACAAATTAAACTATTAGGTCGTAACACTGTCATTAACCACCCCCAAAAAACATACATCATGTATGATAGTTCAACAAACTGCCTAAACATCACGTTAGTGTAGGCTATACACTGTGTAAAGTTTAGTATACCCTTATAATGATGGCATACGAAGAGACACACATTCAGCATGTAATGTTGTTTGAATACAAGAAGGGAAACAACACCTCTGTAGTCATAAAGAATATCAAAGAAGTTTATGGAAATGTTTTGAATTGATATTGATGCTCTGAAGATGCTTCTTGAGTCTAACCCAAGGCAACACACTT